AGCACAGGAAACTTGTTAAAAGCCCCTAAGCCCCATGACGACCCAAACAGCATGTTAACATTGGGAACTATAGCTCGGACTATTACAAACTATAAGAATCCTTCTCAGTCTCATTATCTTGTGAAAGTAATTGGCATATACTGTCAGGAATGTGTTGTAAAGTGCCAGATTGTTTTTATGCATGTATATCTTATCATATTTTGTTAACACAGATATGAAAGAAAGTACAAAAAAACTCTGATAGTGTTTACAACAGTATTTTCTTTTAATATAAAAATCATTTGTAAAAACATCCTATCAATCCTGGGGGTAAAACGTCAGAGTGAAGAGACAATAATAAAGGTCGTACAGACGCACAGACACATAAAACGGGTAATGATGACGCCTACTATACTATTGTATAACTCAAGTTGAACATGGAAAAGGCTGTGGAGAGATATGGTCTTCACATGACTAGACCATAAGGTTACCGCTAAAATGCCAAAATTTACGGTGGCCCATGAGAGCGTCTTTGTTGAACTCTCTTAAGGTGTCAGAGGACTATTAAGTCTACTTCTCATCTCGCAAATGGTCTGAACCATGCCCTTATTCTTGATTCGGTCCAACACCTTACTAATTACTGGTTTCTTGTAATATAGAGGATGATCCCCTGTCATTAGGTTAAAGAAATCCAGCTACAGAGAGCTGCTAGATAAAAATGTTAGCAGGCGCTTATTGTCAGGATCATGACTGTTGTTAATAGCTGCGCGCCGTAGGTGTTATTGCGGGTCAATATACGACAGATTATACACTGAGTCTTAGTTCGAGATTCCATTATGTATAGCGGATATTGCCACTGACATGCGATGTCCGTTGTCATGATGTTAAGAGAATCGTGGGCTAGAATGTATGGTTACAATGTAAATATATTATACCTAGTATATGGTCTGAGAACACTGTCAGTCAATCATCGGGCTCGCCTATACGATCTACGTACATGATAGCTATCGTGTGGGGTCATTTGTGTGTGTTGTTTGTTCCTAGAAAGATAGATCATCAGGATATGATGTTATCAAAACATGTTCATTGTGATAGGTGAAAAATTACTTCTTGTCTCTTCAAGGCATGATTGTTGCAGGTCGGAGGCTCTCCAAAGTTAAACGGAAAAGGTTTTAATTCTCAAATAAAACCCAATAGCCGTACCGCTAAGCTCTTCTGGGCTGGAATAACACTGAGGTCCCTTACATACATTTTACAATACCTGATGCAAGCAATCATTTACAAATCCCATTAAAAATCAATGTTCTAAGTGCACAAAGGAAACAATGTCGTATATGCTTTAGATAGAAATATTGTACAGAGAGGATTCAACTCTGATATATTCTTATCATATTTTTCAAAACACACGAATTTAAACACAAAAACCTCTCGGTCAACATTCTCCTCCTTCTATGCAAATCTCAATTGAATCAGCACAAAACAAAGCGTTACAATACCTCAAGATTTTCTTCTTCTCTCTCCAGTCCTCATTCAATCTATCTGTCCACATATTTATATCTTATATTGATCAATGTGACGTTTTTGTGTTAATGTAATATACAAAGTTGATCAAGGTGCAGTCAAAACGTAGAAACGCACATATTCGGTCTGGCTGTACACTCACAAGCTGGTATGCACTAACAGTTCTGTTTACAAAATATGTATGAGCTTGCTGTAGCGCATGCGTTCTCTCAATATTTCCTCAAACAAATTGAAGAATCATCGTCAAAAGTCGGACATACATTATGTAAAGCAAAACTGAGTCTGTACTTTCAAGAGGAGAAATAGTACATATGTGAGGAATGTTGCCGAGAACGTATAGTATTATATATGCTTATGTTTAGCTCATGCATGGTAATTCATCATAATACATAGCTGTCACGAGCCCTTGCTGATCTCCATGAGTCGTAAAATTATAGGGACAAAAATTGCCATTTCCTATACATATTCTGGGTAGTATGAAGGACGAATCTTTAGGGAGTCTAAATTCTTTGTTGACGGTTTTGAAGATTCACGTAGATTAACATTCCCTTTGTGACTGTTAGAAAGAGTATGAAAAAAGTGACGAAACATCTCACTCTTTGGGCTCTTTTTCAATTCTTAATAAAGTCAGGAGATAAGGCTTCCAAGGCGTGTGTTTACCTAAACTAATCTTGACATGGAACTTTGATGTGTCGCCAGGCGCAGAATTTAGTGCAAAAACTGCAGGTCACAGTCCCTTTGGAGGCCGCTCACGTGAGCTTTCACATCTGGGTTCCCATAGACTTGCATTGGCTGCAGTCTATTGGACAAAAGTACAGGTTCTTCGATGCTAGGAAGGCATACGAAAAATAACAGAGGACAGTATCAGAAAAAAAGTAAATCTTTAGAATATATGTAAGAATTGGAATAAAAAGATGTATAAGGGAAATTCGCTTGATGGAGTTGTTGAGTGTATCCTCGGACACAATAGAATTAATATTCATTGGGCGATCTACTAAAATATCAATTGATATCTTCTAATGTAATGAAATATGGTTTTCCACATTTCATGGTAGCATTTTTGAAATATACGTGATGCTTGGAGAGTGAATGTGTGTGTGTAGAATGTTGTGTGTCGGATCATAAAGTTCGATGGATGTAGCGATGTGGTAAGTGTGTTGTGTGGTTCTGGGTGAATTTGTGTGTGTGCTACCCGCTCGGCATTCGGGCTTTGTAACACACTTTATGTATCATGTGCAGGCTAAAAAGGTACAAAACATGATGAATTCATAAAATTCTTTATCTTCATAACACCACATGAAAAACACAGCAAATGCAAAGCAAACCTTGGATATGCCCTGTCACTGCCGACAGGGTTTTGCTTGTCTCGTGGGGAGGAAGAGAAAGGGCCGAGAAGATACGATGACAGCAAGAGCAATTTCTCACAACGAAAAGCCCATTAACAAGACTCCTACTCACACTGTAGACTACGAATAAGAACAACAACAGGAAAATCCATTAAAACCAGGGCCTCTTTTTTTAGCTGTGAGGATTCATATTGTGGGCCTAATTTTTACTGAAATCGCTTTCACAACCTTCTAGGAATGAAAGGACACCCAGAGAAAAGACAGACTTTAAATGAAAACCCTGAATGGGTGGCGCTGAAAAAAAAAACCCAAAACAACAGCCTTATTCTCTACGTGTCCCTTGCCATTATTTTGGCGCCAGGAATTTGACAGATCCTCACAGAAAAAGCTAATTTATAATCAGCCCTGGGGGTTCTGCTGGTGTCGACAGCCCGTGTGCCCTGGGCTGCAGTTTAGCACCCTACTTGGTGGCATATTATCAATTAGCAAAGTGACTGTCACATCCTATCAAAAATTCCCTGCAAACATGCAGGAAATTAAGGCCAATCCAAGTACCAAAACATGTGTTTAAAAAGGATTAGCAGATATTTGATGCACATGCTTAACATTTCTGCCTTCTTAAAACACAAGTTTCAACCATAGTTTCATGCTGTAAACATTTTCGAATAATGGAATTAGATTTAGATTAAAAGATTTTTTAAAAACTAAGACTTTGAAGACTTGAACACAAGCTGTATCCAGAGCCTTCACTCTTTCCTGCATTAGAAAAGTAATGCCAGTTAAAACAACCAAGAGCAAACAAGAACACTGCCAAGCATCAAGGGGAGAATAAATACACTTAGTTTGGTCCAAAAAGAAAAGCCTATTTAGTTGTATGAAATAGTTAAAAATAAAAATAATGACAGAGAATTTGGTGTAAAAGGTTCTAAAAATATCAGGAAAACGCCATCACTCGTTTATTACACAAACTTCCTGCAGTTTATTGGTTCACTGTTTTGGTTCATTGTACAAGTTTATCAGTTCTTTCCTCTAACTGTTATTGTTATTTAATTGAATATATATGAAAATATCCATAAACTACCTCCACTTAGTTTAACTTGCATGACAAGAAAAGGGTGGGAACCACTGCCACTGGCCTAATGCACCCAGAGAAATTAAAAGGTGAGCTAACATGGTATTAGGGCTGGATCCCGGTCAGAGGATATATGATATATATCGTCACATTGCCCACCCTCAATGAGATTATTACATTTGAGCCATTGGGAGAGAAACTTTGCAGGAAGTGTTCATTGGCGTTAGCTTAGTGAAAAAATAGCAAAATGGAACTGACCACAAACAATTGTGAGAATTAGTAAATGGCAACAGTGTGTGTGTTAAAAAAGAAAGGGAGAGCACCAGAGTGGTGAGTATGACATGCCTCTGTTGTACTGACAACAGGAAAACATGTAGCATGTTTCTGAGCTCGCAATCATCCGGTCTGGTGACTGTGTTTCTCAATTCTCAGTTCTGATCTGGCTCAAACATATCAACGCAAAGTGAGCACATGGTTAGTCATGTTTGATAAAGCTAAAAAAAGTCCACAGAAAACACCAAGCATGGAATCTTGACAGTTTCAAATAAATGAATCACTCACTGATCACATTTTAACGCAT